CTCACCTATCGGACTAACAAAACTCATTTGTCAAAAACAACCACTGCTCTTTGAAGGAAAATTGAAGAAAAATGTAGTTAATGTATTCTAAAATGGTGTAATTTTTTGAGGTTTTCCGATTACATTTATTTTTTCCTTGTAAATAACATTAGCAACAGCATTCCGAACGTAGCACTAGCCTGACAGTTTATTGAGCTTGAAACACAGGCATGGCGTGTCGTGTCGTGTCGTAACGCTGTGGCCTTCGATTACTTTGCACAACTGAATCATACTGTACTGCTGTTATTATTGTACCATTATTGTTTCCAAAACCATTTCATGTATACGCGTTATTGTTTTGTTCTAGTTCTTGTTTTGTTTTTAAATTCTAATATTTATTTTGTTGGGTTCTTTTGGGCCATGTCTAAGTTGAATCTGTGGAACTTTTCTACAACTGTCTTTTGTTTCACCTTGCATAATAGAATGTCCACCTATTTCTTTTTAATTGTTTATGATTATCTATCTATCTTTTTTCGTGTTAATCTTAACATTATCTTTTACCAAAAGCAATCATTTCTTCTTTAAGCTTTCTTCGTATTTAACCTCCTGTATCCTTTTAGTATTTGGTTCCTCAAATAATAATCGACTTCTCCACTGAACATGATTTGCTTTTAGTAAGACTTAGTCATCATTTAGCAATCCCTGTGCGTTCGTTGTATCGTGTAACATTATGACATCATTCCACGTCTGTGATAAAAGTCATTGAAACATTGGAGCTATCAGCAAATACCTAGGTAGACTGGATAGTGGATGTAATTACTTTTTAGTGTTTTGTCATGTTTATGCAGGCTGGGATTTACTCAGCTTTATTTACCTGCTTTTTGGTACTTAAATAAGATCTATGATATTTTAAAAATACAGTGCTTCTCCCCACCTGCTCTATCTTTAGCTGAATCAAATGGAAATGATTATACGTTTAGAATTAACAGTGAGAATTTCCCACGACTCCGGAATTGTATTTGATTGAACTTGGAAATGTATTTTTTATTAGATCAACATTAGAGTTACTAGTCCCCGTCTCTATTTTAATGTTCGCGGGAAGACTAGGGGTGGTGCTGGGGACTAATATATTCAACGTTGCCGTAAAAAATTGCTTGTATCTTGTATATAAGATACAAGCAATTATTTATAATTATTATCACATGTCATTGTTCTTCTTCTTTTTATGGTGCCACTTCATACTTCTTGGTTGGCCGTCAGCTTTTTGAATTGGTCCTTGTCATTGCCCAGGCGAAAAATTGTTCCACAGAGCTGATACTGGTATCAGCCACTCCTGAATATTGCGTAGCCACGACTTTTTCCTTTGCCCGCTTTTGTTCCGTTCCACCTTACCCATCATTATAATATAAAGCAGCATGTACCACAAGTCATAGTCAACAGAAATATATCATCATCACCCCTCGGTTTCGCCTTAGTAACTCGTATCGTGAAAAAATGTGATTATCGACGAACCCATCTTCTGACTTATGCAAAGCGAATGCATTTTCACAAGTAATTGAGAGGTCAAATACCATCAGTTTACCGACCTCTGCTCAAGGTTGCTGGCGAATAATTAGAGCTGCACTAAGGACGGTGCGGGTACCCGACTATATGAAACATTTTAGTCATAATAATAGTATATTGTTATAAAGTTTTAGTGCTGAATAATGTTAGAGGGAAAGAAATTAAAAGGTTCGTGGAAAAATTGTAAAGGAACCGGAGAAACGTGTGGTGATATTTCTATTTTGTATTGTCCTGATGAATTATTTAAAATGTCAATGTTGTTTAACATTATTTCTGGAACTCAGGCCTTGTCCAAAACGGGCACGCACTTATAACTTCTCTGGGGTTGTCCAGCGGTGCAGGCGGTGCTAATTGCTTACCATCAGGGCTCCTCATTTGCCTCTTGAATCATAAAAAACAACAATTTTTCGAGACATCAGTAATAGTCATCCATTTTAACCCAACATTGTTATTCATGCAAAGACATAATAGGTAATCAAACTGATAATATTAATTCTACTGTAACTACAATTATTACCATAGAAAATTGTTGTGTCACAGTAAAAAATCTGCAGTTTCAAACAACAATAAAAAAGACCCAGTTTCGTTATCATATCAAACGGTTTTGATACAATGATAAGTTTTTTATCAGTGTACCAAGAGGGATAGCGTGGTTTCAAGCTATAAATAAAACGCAGGAAACATTTTATTTATGAAAAATGGTATTGTCAGTTTGCTATGCGAAATGTTAAAAGTATTATTATATTGATTTCATGAATAATATTTGATTCAAATAGGGGAGAGCTCAATTTTGTTAGTTACTAGCTGTTGCCCGCGACTTCGTTCGCGTAGAATATGAATTTTAGAACATAACTGTTTTCGTTTCAATTTTCCAAATTAAAAGTAGTCTATGTTACTCCTTAGTACATCAGCTACCTGCTAATAAAAGTCTTGCAAAATCGGACCAGCCATTCCAGAGATTAGCCAGTACAAACATACAGACAAAAAGTTTAGTCAGTTTAACGACACTCGCGGGGGTGTGGTGACATGAAAATTTGAAAATCAAGAGAAATCTTGTCCATCAGTGGACAGTCCCGGCAGTGTTAACTGTCAATGTTGTTAATCAAAGTCAAAGTCAAAGCATTTATTTCAATTAAACCATAGTTTGGTACTTTTGAAACGTCAACAAATACAAAATAAATAATAGTCTGTCAGTCAGTCCGTCAGTGAAACTAGGTGAAGTTAGGTGCTCATTCCAAAATATAGATTCGAATGGAGAAGAACGAGGAAGAAACTCCATTCGTTACTCTTTTTAAAAAAGTATGTTAATGATAATAAATTGAACACCCAGAAACCCTTAAGACAAGTCTTCTACAGAAGGCCTGGTTGACGTGTGTCTAGTGACTAGTGTTCCATTTTGATAAACGCAATATAAAGATACGAGGTGCTCATTTAAAATTCTGCTAATGTCATTGTGTACTAACAGATAAGCAACTTTCACTACCGTCACAAACACTGACAGAAAATAAAAGTAAACTCTACAGTTTTTCAGTATTTAATTCATGGTTAGCAGAGCTGCACTTTGAAATATAATTTGTGCAGTTTTTGTGGTAGTTTTTTGAAAGTAACATTAAGAATTAACGCCAGAAAAGAATTTCACAATCAAAAATTTGCTTTTATTAATCAAAATAATGTAATATTCTTCAATTTTTTTTAACTCCCAACGCTAAATGAAGGGTTTAAAGAATTCACAAGTTTGTGTTGCGTGTTTAACCCATGTTGACTTTGACTATTAAAATTAATTATGATGATTTTTGACATGCCTTAACGACTTCTTCCATTAACATATATCTATGTTGTTCTGTTAAAAATACAAGCTTCTAAAAGACGTGTAGATAAAAGTTCATAATAAAACGGTCTTTCTAGCGAAAAACAGTATTTTCTTTATATTTTGCTTAAGAAACTTAACCCATAACATTAAATACTTTTAATCTAAACTTCGAAAGATTTACTCGTCGTCCATTTACTCCATACTTTAAAAGTTTCTTTAGAAAATTCCTTCCTTACCAACGGAGATTGAATGTCAAAGTAAAAAATGCGCGTCCGGCGTTTCATGCCGCAACTAATTTCAACGCCAGCGACTATGAACGTGCTTTTTTTATTTCCTCCATGGCTGTATTGAATTCTTACTTGCCAGTCTCAACTGAATGACTGGCATATCGGAATGTATCAATCTTTTTTTAAAAATTATTCGAATTTTTGCTGTTCTATATTCGCGTTTTTGGTTTATCGTTGTGAATCTAGTACGTTGTTGGTTAACTTCTGATAACTACGTAGCTGTGAAGCTGTGTTTCTACCAAAAGCTAATTACTAAGATGGAAAATAAATATTTGATATGCGTACATTACTATGTACTAGAAGTGTAGATAAGTAGTTGCGGAATAATATAAAAGGGTCCTTTCTAGGAACAGACAAAGTATTGACAGTTTTTAAATCTCCCTTTCTAATTTTTAGGTCTAATATGAGGCCGAAAATAAGTCTCATAGTTCACCATCGATGAAATTTATGAGACTGATAAAATAATGGGTAAAAAGTAGGTATACCGTATATTCAGTGTAACCCCTTTTCCTAACACGATTATCTAACTAGACCACTTACGAGAGGAAACCATCAATTCTAATAAAGTCTTCATGTGTAATAAATTAATTCCAACTCCTGAAATAATCTTTTTATAACGATTCACAATAAAATGGACAATGTTACGACAGCGTTAAGTAACAATTTAGATTGAGTAACTACTGATAATGATTGCACAAGATCATTGAAGCGATTCATTGATTGAAAAAGTTACATTAAATAGACATATTGGTATTGGTATCACGGAAAAAGTAGCTGTAACAGATTTTGAAGTAGATATATTTTATAAACCTTGTAGAATTTAGGGCCGATTTTCTTTAGAGTATATGTATGTAAAAATTGGTGCGATGCAAATAGGAAATCCAATAATACATGTTTTAAGCATTATGCATTAGAACACTTTTTTATGGGTAAACGAGCAGACGGATCACCTGATGGTAAGCAATCGGCGTCCCCCATGGACACCCGGAACACCAGATGTGTTACAAGTGCTTTACCGGCCTTTTAGGGGTTAGGAATTTGAGGATTGTTGGCGATTGGGGAGATTGGGAAAAGCGCAGAGCCTCCGGTCCCCTCACACACACGTCGAAACAACACAAGCATTGTTTCACGTCGGTTTTCTTCGAAGCCGAGGGATTACTCCGGCCGAGCCGGCGCTTTCGTGCCGAAGCATGGCTCTCCCACACTTAAAAACCTGATAGATAATGGTGAATAACCTTGTCCAATCAAAAATCTCAATATCAAATATAAATGGCGATTCGACAGAAGACTATATTTAATAACCTTACATTAGTAAAAATTCTTGAATGTCAAATTAACGTAATATTATTTGCTTGTTACAGTAAAAGGACTGTTTCGCCGAGCACAATACTGAAGCGTGAACAGAAATGGCTGCGCATGCTCAACAACTGGGAGGCGTTTATGAGCAAGAACTACAAAAAAGTCAGGGAGAGGTGTCGAAAAGGTAAGAACAATACGATCTCTAAAGCAAATTAATTAATCCTTACATGTATAACATAACATAATAATTATCACGCCTTTAACTCCGAAGGAGCAGGCAGAGGTGCACATTACGGCACTTAATGCCACTGTATAATGTAACACCCACCTTTCATTATTATTATTATGAGTCAATTGACAATTCCAGACCCCGTGTTACCATAGATAAATTAAAAAAAAAAACCAATAATACTTTGGCGGTCCGACCTGGGAATAGAGCCCGAGACCGCAGTTGCCCGGCAGTCGCACTTGCGACCACTCCGCCAACGAATCAGTTGTTATAGCACTCATTATGTATACTTCACAATATTATAAAGACGAAGAATCCTTGTTTTATCGCGCTAATCTCCAGAACCACTGGATCAAATTTAATATGTAATTATTTTTGGGCTATCTACTCTATTTATCGAGGAAGACTATAAACATGACGCTACGATCAATCCTATTGACAGACAAAACCGCGGGCGGAAAGTTATTTAATAAATAAAATCATTAGTCGCTCACGATTAATTTATCATTGTTAATTAACGTCGTGTCTGGCATTCATTAACACCAGTAGCAATTTGCGTTTTTCTTTTGGTGATGAAATACTTAAAGAAATTGTTAACTAAGATAAGAGATGCCAAATGCTGTAGATAATAACTAATAAATGAGAAATAGACTGTTTTATGGTCCAAATAAACTTAGATTGGAGATGTCATTTCACATAACATAACATCACGTCTTTTATCCCCGAACTGGTAGGCAGAGGTGCACATTACGGCACTTAATGCCACTGTACACCCACTTTTCACTATTTATGAGTCCCACGTAATAGGGGGTGAGCCTATTGCCATATACCGGGCACATATACAGACTCCGTGCTACAACTGAGGTTTTTATAAATCCAGTAATACTTTGCCCGACCCGGGAATCGAACCCGAGACCCCTTGCCCGGCAGTCGCACTTGCGACCACTCGGCCGAAGAGGCAGCTTTTAAATACTGATGAACGGCAATAACCTGCTTTTGTTTCAAATGAATACTGACACAGAATGCACAAGGAATCCCTTAAATCTTAGTGTGTCTTTACTTCAGCTAAAATTTATGCAAGAATCTCAAGAACCAGTCAGTCTCCGCGTTCGTTAAGCCTCTTTGCTATCGTCAAATATTCTAATCCAATTAATGTATCCTCATCTAGGTATACCAGCATCGGTTCGCCCAAAAGCCTGGCTCTACCTCTGTGGTGGGCAACTATTGCTGGAGAAGCATCCGAACGAATACGAAGAGCTGCTGCAGGCGCCCGGAGACCCGAAGTGCATGGAAGACATCAGAAAGGACCTGCATCGACAGTTCCCTTACCATGAGATGTTTATCCGAGAAGAGGGACTTGGGTTAGTGCAAATTGTGTTTAGTGCTATTTGATAACCGATAGGATATTTTTGTTATGTTAAAGATCGGCCAATGAGCAGATAGATCACTTGGTGGTAAGCAATCAGCGCCTCTCATGAGAGGGACACTCAAAACACCAGAGAGGAAATGTAGGGAAGATCGGGTTTTCCGTAAACTTACCTCACTCACATTCGTGACGAGGCGTAGCTCTCGAGAAAAATACACTCCTAATTATTTAATCAATATCGCTTGCGCCGAAAGCGGTAGAAGAAACTCCTGTTTACAGTTGGTAAAATAAACAAACAATTTTAAAATCAGCATGGTAACATAGTATTGCTAATTTATTCAAACAGTTTTAAGTGGCGCTAGTGTCGTTTAAAGGCATCTCAGTCGTGTATTTCTCCATACTTACGTTAGTTCCAATTTTATCCACCGGAACAAATAAGTTAGGACATTGCATTATGATTGTTTGTTTACACTCTCATTTCGTTCTGTTGCCAACTGCATCAATATTCTGATTTTGGATGCTTGCCATAGCCAAATACTATTTACGTTATTCGAATTTTAGTGTTGTATTATTGAATAACTTTAATCATTGGAGATGAATAGGGATTTCGGATTACATTTTGTTTAATTAATGCCCAATTCTATTTCAAAAGAATATTATTTTGTTTCATTAACCCGTCTACGTAGTTAAATACTAATAATACTTTTTGTATCATGTTGTTGAACTACTGTAGATATTGGCTTACAGGAGTTAAGGCAGTTTTGGGAGGTTCCAGCGAAGCTTGTCCTAATAAAAAAACGAATCTACATATCTTTAAATTTGGCTTAATAGAAATATAATTTAGACCAGTTATGTTATGGATATGACATTTCGGATACGGATATGAAATTATTTCGGATTATCCGTTACTTTCGGATAATTTCGGTTACGGATATTAAAATTTTAAGGAATTTCAAAAGTAAAATACAAATAGCTAATATAAGGGTTTCATTTATACGTCACGCCCCTATCTGATAGTATCCGAAACTTTTATTTCGGATTCGGTTGTTTTAGACATGATCTCCAAACAAAATGTGCCAAAATTCTGTCTCCAACAAGGATATCCACAGATAGAAAAGGTGTTAAAACTGACTATAAATGTATTTCTTTCTAATTAAATAATACAAATATAGGTGAAACAAGTAAAGCAAGTGAAACAAGTGAATTTATTTCTCCAAATAGGCTACAAGGCAGCACTTTTACACATCAATTTTATCAAGCGAACGATGAGGCCGACATTTCCTAACTGACTACTCTGAGAAGAAATGCCGAAACAAACTCCCTCTGAGTTTGTTTCTTTTAAACTCCAGACAATATGTATAATAGATTATGTGTGAGAAGAAATACAGTAGGTGTTGTAATTAAACAAAGCATTTTAAGAATATAATTGATTACAACATACTAGATCCATTACTGATTAGTATAAGTAATTTTGCAGTTATGCAGTTGGTAGTCGTAACGGCTCAGTTAATATTTCTAGAAATTCGTAGAGTTTATTATACAACTTCAGTGTTGGCTGGAGTGATATATTAATCTATACAGATAAATCACATTGGAGTGTCTGTTTGTAATAGTAAAATAACCGTTTTTTACTACATATGCATAATTGCATATGAATATACATACGATACATATACCGACATAACATATTGTACAAATTTTGTCTGTCTGTCTGTCTGTCTGACTGTTTGTACTGGCTAATTTCTGGAATGATTAGATTGATTTTGAAACACTTTTATTGGCAATTAGCTGATGTACCAAGGAGTAATATTGGCTACTTTTATTTTAGAAAATTGAAACAAAAAATAAGTTATGTTCTTACATTCATATTCTACGCGGACCAAGTCGCTAGCAACAGCAGCTAGTAGAATTATTTCGTACGCGATTAGTTAGTTTTTCATTTCAGAGTTTATCATTTTGGTTTTGAATAGTAATTGATAAAATCATGTTTCTTTATTCTTTGAGAGTCTTGTTTATGCCTAATGAAAAGATTAGTTTAACACTCACCAGATGTTTTTTTAAGGGAAAATCATCCAAATGCCTTGCGAGTAGAGTTGTTTATCCCATATCCATCCTATAACTAAAACCTCATACAGCCCCTTAATCTACACTAGCGCCACACATAGCTTAAGAATCTAGAGAAGCCTGTGCCAGTCGAATACTGCACTATGGGCCTCCTCTATAATAGTTTACCATAGTCTAGTCTCCATGATTGACTAGCAAGTTGGATATCGTAGTTTAAAATAGGTTTACCAGAAAACGCTGGTTAAAGACTGCATAGTAAAACTTCATAAATGTCAAATTATCTCACAATGGGTCCTGCCATTGCCCTGCGGTTAGGGACTGTCCGACTGTCCACACTGTTCATATTTACACGGTGACTAACACTGGCTTATCATACCAGTGACGATGACGTATGACTTTGTTTTATAGACTCGTACTATTATTCAAACTAGCCGGGGTTTTCATTCATTTTGTTTTTGCGTTCATTGTATGTATCTGCAAATAGGTACATAGATATATCTACAGTTTGGTCCCAGTGACATCATGTTGTAGGCTGATTTTGTAATGGATTTTTCACGTCATTTTGTACGTTTATGGCTGTTGTTTAAAGGGAAATATAGGCGTCATAATTATTATTAATTTGTTAAATAATAGGTTCTGACGTGAAAGTTAACGATAATGAAATATTTTGCTTCGTTTTGTGAAAAACAAGAGGCCATGTTTGTGGTTACCCAAAGAATGGCAAATTAGATTTTATTTGCATGGTCATTGAGTATAATTTTGTATTTAATCCAGTAGGATTAATAGTATTCAGACTACAGAAATTGAAAAGTTTTCAGTGCCTTATCATCTGAGAAAATGTAAAGTAATGAAAGTCTAAAATAATTCAAGAAGGTAATATATTTAATTTGGTCCAATCAAAGGCACGTTTTTTTATCATTTATCTCGAAAATCAAGTAATCCAAGAAGGTAATATATTTATTTCGGTCCAACTTTTTCTTCAAGCAAACAAACTAATTTCTTCTTTTTTATTTGCAGACAACAAGAGCTGTTCTCAGTGCTGAAGGCGTATTCAGTGCTGAACCCCAAGGTGGGGTACTTCCAGGCTCAGGCACCGGTAGCCGCCTTCCTACTGATGCACATGCCAGCTGTACAGGCTTTCTGGTGCCTTGTCAGCATCAGCGATAAGTACCTTAGCGGGTACTACAATCCGGGACTTGAGGTGAGAAAACTTACATACATCACGCCGTTTATCCCCGAAGAGGTAGCTAGTTGCACATTACGGCATTTAATGCCACTGTACAATGTAACACCCACTTTTCACTATTTATGTTATATGTCCCGTGTAATAGGGGGTGAGCCTATTGCCATATACCGGGCACAATTCCAGGTTCCGTGCTACACTGAGAATTTTTAAAACTCAGTAATACTTACATCTAATAAGCCGTACTATGGAAGTATGGACATCTTCTAGAAAACTGGAATTTGCCATAATCTCCAGACTTGGATCTATTTTTCCCAGTTATTACGTATGATGGTAAAAACAACAGCGTCAAATTAAATCGACTCGCATGTGATGGGTAGGCCTATTACGTCTGCCATGCAATATTCATTGTAAACAGTAGTTATCTTTTCCCATATTAAGATAAACAAAGAAATATTAAAACCTTTTCTTATCTTCTCATACAAAAACGGAACTGATAAAAAATAACTACTACATAGTAACCAAAGCTAAAAAGAAATGTCTATGAGTCGACTACTTAGCAACGAAAACAACAAAATAAAAATGACGCCATCTATTATTTCTTACCAGAAAAGATATAGCAAATGCTCTGTTACTAATTTCCCTCGAATATGGACAAGTATGGTTCTTATCAACAGTACAATACAGAAAGATTATATTCAAACAGGCACAGTCTTTATTAAGTAGTCGTTCACCCAATAAAAATATTATATATTCATCATAAAAATACCGACAGGTCCTCCAACGCGACGGCGATATCCTCCATGCCCTATTACGTCGCACGGCGCCGGCAGTGCACCGTCACTTGGTGAAACACAAGGTCGAACCTGTCCTGTACGCTACGGAGTGGTTCCTCTGTGCCCTTACTCGCACCCTACCCTGGGACAGTCTGCTAAGGGTCTGGGATTGTTTCCTCTGTGAAGGAGTTAAGGTATGTTCGTTTAAACAGGTTGTTTGTTGACATCAATTCAATGGGATGCATTCTGAATTTAGCCTTAAATGAAGATAATATCTATCTTACTAAATCTACACCAGAACCAGTATAGGCTGCATAGTACAATCATTCAACCACATCTAACCATTTCAGGTACTATTCAAAGCAGCGCTAGTGATCCTAGCAGGTGCCCTAGGACCGGCGAAGGTGCGCAAACGAGCGTGTGGTCTATGCGAGACCTTGGAAGTGTTACGCCACCCTCCCGAAGGTATACTGGGAGAGGACTACCTCATGTATCATATGCAACGACTTAACCTCACCGAGGAGGACTTTGAGTTCGAGCACCAGCGTCAAACCGCTAGGCGGCGTGCCATGCCTAACAGAAGGTACGTTATAGATAGATAGATCCTGTTGTACGTGTCTCGACAGATGATTTTTTTTTGGAATAAGTCGATAAATGAACATATGCGTCACCTGTAGATAAGCACTACTTCTGAGAATTTTGAATATCAAACGAATTCTATTGGAATTCGTATTATTCGTAGTATTCGTATTCGTACATAAAATATCATTTTTTGACATGGTCAAGGGTCCTTTATTTACTTGACCAAGAAGCAAAGTGTCTAGTCTACATTTTGATATTCGTCTTGGTAGTTACTTTTGTAGCGTACAATTTAAAAAACTTAATTAAATTCACGATCTTACGATTTAATATTAGCCCAATGAATCAATCAATCTAACAACAACAATTTCCTATTCCAGTGGCAGCTGATTCAGCGACTGTTCCTATAAGCGCTATTCCAAGAATAACGCGAGGGATCTGTTCAATACTCTGTAAGTTGAGTGCATGGACTATATGACAATAAAACAGTAAGGTACGCCAGCGGGCTGTACCAGTGCTTTGTGATAGTGAGCGTAACGCACGACCAACTGACGACTGAGTGCATTAAGTCCGATAGAATTAACGACTTCAACTCGTCTTGTAAAATAACCTTAAAGTAAAAATAGTTCTCGATTCAATGTACAGATGTCGCCGGGTTTGAGCTTTGTATGGAACTGTCACTCTTAATGAAGGACCTTGATTGGTCGAATTCGCACCATGAATAACGGTTTCGCATTTCAAAATTGAAATGCAGCTAACTTCACTTCGGTGCTATTCTGTTTGCTTATGTCATGCAAAGCTCAAATCTTTTGGCGAATAGTAAAATGGTAATTTTTAAACGATTATTGTGAAAGGTTTTCATTTAATTCTTTCATGAAAACGGTTATTGTAAAAATGTGTGTCTTGCTAGTTGTAAAGTTGACTTGATAGTAGATTTTGATTCTAGATATTTTGTAAAGAACATGCTAGGTATTTAGTCTCTGATGGAGGTGCAATACGGCTGCGTCTGTTTCATAACTAAAAAATATTTTTCGCTCAAATGATTCTTCCGAACCATCCAATCTCTACTTGTTACCCTTCCCCCTACCCCTCAATGGTCCCGCTGAATCGAGGTTCGGACCCCACAAGGGTTACCCTCAATGATGCAGTCATTTAGATTGTAGTGGATTTTGTTACCCTGTCTAGGGGCTTTAACATAGAGGGCACCACAGGGGTTTGTCCGGTTAAGTAGTCAAAACGCCTTAGCGTGCTGAACTATGTATGTGTGGTTATTAAAAAAAAGTGATCCATTATTTACTAATATTATGAAGTCACCTAAAAGCCAAAAGGTAGAACCTTATTGCAGACATTCTTGAATGTTCTTCGCGTTAAATTCAACTTCTTTAGCTTCCATACAGTATTTTAAATCTGCCTCAACTTTTGCAGTTTGAATGTAATATTGTTCTGATAAGCTAATATAAACCTAACTATAATAGAGATATGGTTTTATTTAAAATAAAACTGAATTTTATAATGGCAGCTTTTTGCTCTGGAAAGATTTGGGATTTATTTGAAATAGGTTGAATTTACGTAAACATAAAAAACTTTAATTTCGATTTATTATTATCTGGAACTCGGTCTATAGATTTCACATGCATTTGGGAAATGAATTTTGCTCCAAACCAAATTTTAAAAAAAATATTCGAATGATGATAGAAACTCCAGTCATTAAAATTATATTCTAATAGTAGAGAGATTGTAGGATAAGGTGAGACTGTAATGTAAATAAATTGTAAAATATACGAAATTAATCCATAATACATTGTGATAAGGTTCGTTATTAAATATTAAAATAAAATTACATATCTATTAATAAAAGTGTTGATTGGCTAATATATTGCAACGCAGTAGACAATTTTCCATTCCATTTTTAATGTATGTATGAAAGAATTATTAAATTAATCGTGTAGATACTTTTTCGTCAAAAAACTGAAGATGTTTCATTCAAAAATCTTCGTCATAGTAGTTGTTAAAAATGTGTAGTGACGTAATTCGTTATTTTCCCGTTGTGACACATGTCAATGTCGAAGCAAAACGTCTATGCGTTTGCCGTATTGTTTTTCGAATTGGTACAATATGGACGAGAATAATTAAAATTTTAGGGCTTCAAGTTACTGAATGCTTATTTTTCATTATTGTAAGTTATTTCAATGCGTTCTTTATATGAGTTACTTTTGAATAAATTGTAATAATGAAGTTGTGTGTTAGCGCCTACTTTACTATGTTTGATTAAGTTTTTGGTAGTTAAACTGATAGAATAATATAATTTGATAAATTTATAATATTAAATATGTCAAATAGATGTATCAGTTAAGCTAAAACCAACTTAATCAGACATTTTAAAACAGGCCCTAAATAACACTTATTTCCGTCTGTAAGAAACTTGTATCTCAGTCATTAAATAAGATATTCCTATAGACCTAAACTTGAGTCTGATTGTGGCCCATATTATATTATTTTTCCGTAAATCTATATTATTATGACATTCCTATTAGTCTTCCTCTTCATCCCATGTACAGACGAGCAGGTCAAGCTACTCCGATCTATCGATTTCTTTATTAGATTTTCAACTTTAAAAGTTGTAATACAAAGTCGAAATTTCAATAAAAATATTGATGAATTAGAGGAGGTTGACTTGCTGTGGACTGTACGAGAACGACCATGCAAAGAGATCTGTATTTATTTAACATTTTCAAACAATATTACATATATTAAAGGAAAACTCGTATTTTACTACTCTTTCTGTTTTTAGTCTCATATTAACTGTTTATTGTATGAAAAAGGTTCTATGTAGAAACTATTTAAAAAAAATACGTGGACATATTTTGCTCTGACAACACTGAAGTCGATTTTTAAATTGGTCTTCGCGCCGAAAAATGTTGCAAGTTTAAAGTAATATAAAAATCGATTTAAGGAGGTTGTTAGCAAATGTTGTCTCTGATAAACTGTCTTATTAACTCGCAACAAGATACCTGTACTTTCTTATGAAAAGAAATCTTATAATCAGATTATTTTTACTAAACTCTATAATTCCTATTATACGCAGTATAAGGCGGTTGCTTGAAAAAGAAAAAAAAAAACAATAAGAATAGTTTCCAATTAGTCAAATTAAATATTGTTTTCGACATGTCAAAAATTATAATATTATTAATTCACTTTGAGGTTTTACTTACTGAAATAATTATATTTTGGTTCAAACGACAAACTTATTTCTTTATAAAATCTATATGAATATGAAAATAAATTATATCGCCAAATCCATGAATGAAAGTGACATTCTTTTTTTATATAATTAGTTTTAGTCGAAGGAAACTACTGCTAAATTTAAAAAATTGACAACTCAAACGTCAAGTGGCCGCATAGATAATATAGATTCTATTTTTTTTTTGTTACAACATGACTGCCCGTTACCACTATAAAGTTATAATGATAAGTAAACAAAATATCGAATCTAGGCTATGATTTAGTACTAAGTTTGCGCACATGCGTCTAAATGGTGCATAATGATTTTTCTTTTTTTTGTTTATTTTAATTTATGTTTTCGACGGCTTAGTAATGTGTTGTTTCTGGGTATCATACTTCATAGAAGGAGATGATAACAGGGTATGAGAATTAAACATCTATTTAGTCCATCAGATAATGAAAAATGTAACACACGTATTTTTTATTACAATATTTAGATAACACAAATTCAATTTTAGAGATGGGAGCTAGCTACGTCATTCTTATGTATAAAATATACATAGAAGTGACGTCATGCTGTATTTCAAATGAATGAATCTAAGTATATTATCCAAAGGTCATGATTAAAAATATATGGCTAATATTTAAGTTATTCTATCAAATGGACTTCAACCAAAAATCAATGTTATTGTCAAAAAAGTTAAAAAGCACTGAGAATACGAGTCATTGAAAATGGTGCAATGAAATCGACTAAAAGATGTTTTTGTCTATAGATAAAAATTACCTTTTGAGCAACAATTTCTCTTTTATTAATTATGATATCCTTTATTGAATTATTTATGAGTATTTAATAATGGTTACTAAGTCGTTGTTCAAAGTATTGTGTAGTATTATAGTCTGGAGCTTGAATGGAAACAAATGATTATGTAAATTAAAATATTATGATTGAAGTATTGTATCATGATTTAATTCGAACTTTGTCGACTAGATTTTTTTAATAACATAACATCACGCCTTTTTGTCCCCGAAGGAGTAGGCAGAAGTGCACATTACGGCACTTAATGCCACTGCACAATGTAACACGCACTTTTCACTATTTATGTTGTGAGTTCCTTGTAATAGGGCGGGGGGGAGCTGTTTGCCATATACCGGGACCATAATAGACATATTATCATAATAAACATAATTTTACATATAAATATGATTAGAGGAGGATTAAACATAAAGGGCGCCCTAGGCAAGCACCTCCTAGATGCTTCTAATTTCTTTTGGCACCACCTGCCACTCTACGGGCAGTTGGGCCCTTCCTTGACCTGGCACCCTAGTTGCCTAGTATGTCTTGGGGATAATACGGCTCTGCATATGATATGTTAATCCATTGTGTAGCCGTATTCATGTTAGTGATGGAACATAATTGATAGCTCCACAGCATAATGCCCACCTTCGATAAACCTTCGATAAATAGTGATGCGGTAATATACGTCTCCCATGATCGATGTTCACACGCCAGCACCTTCTTTAAATACCATATTTATTGTGTAGATATGTAACTTTATTATGTTGCATTAAAGTCGAAAATCTATTGAAATTTTTGGTATATTGCAGTAACTTGATGTGCTGCTATCTGTAACCATGTTACGTATATGTTTGCCTATGTAAGTACTATTTCGTTCCTGTACTTTATTGGTCCCTAATCCATTTTAAATCGTAAAAGAATTTTAAACAAACAAACTTCAATCTTATTTCATTAGTATAGATTCTATTTCATATTGTAAATTATGATCAATAATCCTCCAAGTACCCTGTTAGGTTTATATCAATAATAATAACAGTTCTATAGATTAGGATCATAGAGGCTTAAGGTCGTAAATAGCATGGCTACTGTACTACCCCGTGATTTATATGGCAAACTTATAATTATGAATAATCGTTGCAAAATCGACCAGAAGCACAGTACCTACATAGGATCACAAGATATCTCTACTATTTAAATAAAGTTGATTTATAGGAAACCAAATAGAAGATTTAAGGTTGGATGATAAATGATTTTACTTCAACTTAAGATACTTTGAACAATTTAATTAATTATGTAAGATGTAAGAAAATATGTCCAAGCGGGGCTGACATGTTCCTGAACGAAAAGTCACTAAAATCATAGATAATTAAAAAAAACTTTAACTTGAATTGGTTACTTGCCAACTAGTAAAATTCGATACTTTTTTCAAACTGTCAAAAACGACAGTTTTCTATGAACTTTGTACGAGATTGTGTATTGTGACGTCACGTTTTTTATCGCCAAACAGCGCAATTCCAGACCACGTGCTACTACTAAGATTTTTTTATTACAGTGAAACTTGGTTAAGTGGGACCTGGATAAGTGAGAAACCTCCATAACTGGAACTCATGCTGAGGTCCCAACACTTTGGCACTGAATTACCTCTGTTAGTGGGACGAAGTAAACCTCTATATCTGGGATTTGTTCTTTCGATTTATCATCATAGTCACCTCTATAACTGAGACAGCGAGTAAATTTTAGACGTATGAACCTCTAACTGAGATAACATTGTTTGTTTACTCATTCTTATTCTAATCACAAATTCCACACGTAATACCAAGTCCACCTCTATTAATGGAACCCTCTGTAAATGAGAGATATTTATTTACACCTGTATATCTGAGACACTTGGTAAGTGGAATACCTCTATAAGTGAAACGACATTGCAGATCCCTTGATGTCTCACTTAACCAGGTTTCACTGTGTTTATTACTTTTCCCGACCCGGGAATCGAACCCGAGACCCCTTGCCCGGCAGTCGCACTTACGACCACACGGCCAACAAGGCAGTTAAGGTTTTTTTTATTGTTTGTATTAATATTATCTGCATGTATGGATGTATGTCTCATTGGTGCGACCGATGAGCATAGCATTTTAGGTGCGATTCCTAAAACTTCTCAGTAATAGCACAGAGTCTACAAATAGGGCCTACGGCCTACTATTTTTGCTCACTACATGCCAGTAATGTGTACATCGCGTTCTTCGTCCAATAGGGAATTAGCTAGTGTTACGCCAATTGACGTTCAATATTTGAGAGCGGCTGTGATTGGACATAATAACTCCTACATTAACGCCCATATGAGCAAAAAAACGTTAGCTGTCAATGTACGTATATAGCAGTAGGCGTACCCTTATTATATGGGTCTCTTAAATAACTAATGAAAAGTGAATGTTAGATGATATATTGTGTATATGATAATATGTCTATCCCTTTGGGGATTCAAAGATAAAAGATGTGACTTTATTTCTTGAGAGTATACCAAACTTGTACGGTGGCTAGCAGGTCAACTACTACTTCAACTTTACTGATCTGACATAAAGTCGAAAATGCAATGAGTAAATGACAATGACCAAATTTGTATGGAGCGTGGTGCCTTTTAATTTTTTCGCGGCAGTTGATCAAATGTGGATAAACTGATGCAGAATAACATTACAAACAAAAAAATATATGGGGTCTTATACCAAAAACACAGTCCGAACCGAGTTAAATCAGTTCAAAGATGTGAAAATAGTGCTATATTATTCCTGTTATTTGTTGATGGTGACCAGTACACAACGCATTTAACTTCATTTACTTGTCAGAAATATTTTTTAATAAATGATTATAAACGATTTCAAGGAATGTAATAAAGCTTATTGTAGACTATTTTTTTTTTTTTTTTTTTTTTTGTTTGGCTTTATGACCACGGAACCAGAACAGAGTGAACCGTTAACTGGCTAAACTGCTCAAGTAAAAAAAAAACATTTCGCTTGATTGGCTAGCGTATTCACTTTATATGTATACGGTTTATGGCCTATGACAGATTTTCATGATCAATTTCCTCTCAGTCGAAAACCCGCAAAATACCTTACTGAGCCCTATCATGAAATGCTATGTTCGTCAGCTGCGGCGTCGATAGCGGATTAATTAGCGCTCATCACTTTAAAAGTCGACGGTTTCCTTTCTTCAAAAGATTATGCAAACTATAAAGTAGATGAGTCTCCCACCAGGAGTCAATGGCAAAAAAAAAATACTTTATTAGATGTTTGGACGGTTACCACTACTCAACCCACCACTGGTACCACAGCTGACGCTCATGAAGCTTCATGACACAACTCCTAGAAGCATCCCACAAGTTATCGACTGAGAGAAAATAGGTAATAAAAATTAGTGCCTGGTAATATGAATATATTGTGGTGTGATATGGTTTTCCTGTGCCTGGAATACAGTGGCGCGCAATTCGAAGTTAGAAATTGTGACAAAAATATGAATAATTTGAATAAAAAACCGAAGTAAAATGTTTGACTCCAGATCCTTTCAACGCTCATAACTCAGTCTAGACTGAGATTTCCATATATGAGCCCATAGACAATTTCGTTTGTAATGTCATTCTAGATAATATTTTCCATAAATCATCGACTGCCGCCAGAAAAAAGAAAGGCACCAATTTTAATCAATGCCCTTTGACAGATTGGAGTATTTTGATGTACTGGCGACTGTACAATAATAATAATTTAATAAATAATCTATTCAAAATATAAATGTATAAAGTGATTCAATTACTTGGAGTGTGTGCGTGTGTATGTGTTTTTTGTTTATTTTTCAATGGAAATTTTTATTCAACGTTATTTGCGTAGTTGGTAACTATTATTATTATTATTTTATTTGTTGTTATTGCTAGTTTCCACTTTGTTTAGAAATATTTAGATTGTATTGTAATCGTGGATTTACCTGCTTATGGAAATAGGAGCGAGACTACACTGCCAGAGCTACTTATATGACATAAACAGCCAAGATATTTTGTATGCAGGTAAAAAATAAAGATGGCTGCTGAGCCGGCCTATAGTTGCAACAGATTTGACCGCTGTACTGAATTAATCTTTATTTTCCTCATTGTATACTAAATAGTTTGGCTGACAGTCTACTGGAGTAGTTTTTCTGTTTTGATTATTGCATAATTGTAATCCAGTCATTGTGACAGTTAGGGGCAAGATGGCAGAATTTTTCATTTGAAAATTAGCTCCTAATTTAGTCAGAAATCTATAAGAAATGTTAGACTAATTTTGCACACTGTTTTCTCGAATTTTCCAAATGTGTGCCAAAGTAGTCTCGCGTATAGCTCGCACAGCACAAATGTATGTAATCACAGTTTTAAGATAAACGGTCGAAATTGATAACCAATCTTACTCCAAGACTGGATAGATCCAGGTTTTTATCAGAAATTCAATAGAGTTGTTGTTTCGACGTGTGCATCAATCAATCCCCCTCCCCCTTCCCTCATCTTCAATCCCCAAATGGGCGTTAATACCCTTGTAACTCCTCTAGTATAGGATGGTGCCAAGTGCTTACCATCAGGAGAAAAGTAGTTGCCCCCCCCCCTCCCCTTGAAAATAATAGTGTTAAGATTGGTGATTATTTTCGGCCATTCGTGTGTTCGTTGACAAAAATGTTCCAAGTTCCATCACATTCCCAGCAGACTGTAGTCGTGTAAATGATAAAATCCTTGTCGCGAGTATTTTTGTACAGTGCCCGAGGTTTCATATCGCTGCAATATTTAATGTAAATAAATATTTAATATAAAATATTTTGTTTGTTTTATTTTTCTTTATATTATCCCCGGGCCGAACAAAGTATTACGGGGTTTTAAAAAAAATCTCAGTAGTAGCACGGAGTCTGGAATTGAGTCCGGTATATGGCAATAAGCTCACCCCCTATTACATATGGGACTCAAAACATAGTGAAAAGTAGGTTTTACATTGTACAGTGGCATTAAGTGCTGTAATGTGCACCGCGGCCTACCCCTTCGGGAATAAAAGGCGTGATGTTATGTTATGTTCTTTTACCTGCTTATAGTTTTACTTACACGTTATTAGCAAGTTTAATATTCTCTCTTGGCGTTGTCCTGTCTGATTTAAAACCAATGTGTCGAGGGTTCGAAACATAATTATTTAGGCGAAAATTTAAAATATCTCAAAAACTAGATGTCGTAGCTAAAAAGTAATCTAATTTTCGTAACCGTATAGACTCACCCCCATAAATTACATATTTTCTATCTAGTTAGTGAATCTAAAAAATCTACTTTATAACAGTCTCATAATATAAATGTATAGTTTAAAGGGATGGGGTGGAAAGGTGGAAATGACCTCGGGGTGAAGTTTACCTTATACTTATAAGTATTCTTTTGGGTAAAGTGTGCCACTTCAAAAATATTTTAACAACGGATCCCCAACCATTCTCAATGCGTCACACACACGGCATAATCATCTGCATACGCCACCACCTATTCCATATAATGGTGTGACTGTCCTGTTCAGTCAGGACGTGAAGGACCGGGGTGGGCCTGATTATTCATAGCACAATGAGCTGGCGTGCTCAGGTCCCAGGTGTTTGCCAGAGGGTGACTGAATCATTGCGGGCTCTGTATCGTTTGAGGAACATTCTTTCGTCCTCCGTGAAGCCGCAGCTTGTGCAGACCTTGATTTTCTTCATTATTGATTACGTGGATGTCTATTATTACGACCTGAATGCAGATCTACTCATCAAATTAGACCGACTTCTAAATGACTGCATTAGATTCGTTTTCAACTGTGAAATGTTTCTGCACATAGAATGCAACTAAAGTGGCTGCTCGTACGCTTGCGCGATCTGCTGTCACAACCGAGGGCCTGCTTGAGGCTTGAGAGACGGTACGGCGTCCTCACCTACCGCCTAACGCGGGTGCTTACCGGACATGGTAGTTTCGGTAGGTTCTTGTTTCAGATTGTTGAAACGCCCGGGTGTCATCACTGCGAGGACCGCCTGGAGGACATGGTGGAGCATATTTACGTACTTGATAAGTATTATCATTATTTTATTTGTTGTTATTGCTAGTTTCCACTTTATTTAGAAATATTTAGATTGTATAGTAATCTTGGATTTACTTACCTGCGGCTCCGGCTCAAAGTGCAAGAGTAGGAACGGGGTGGTTTTTAGTCAGTAAGAGTATAACACTCCCTCTCAGTAAGAGTCAGTAAGAGTCTAACCCAAAATAAGAAGGCAAAATGGCAACAAATCGCAGTTCCTTAGTTTAAATAAAAAGTCCGCGAGCATTTATTTAAGCATTGGCAGACTCAAAACACTCTTTAGGTTTTAAAATTGTGTTCTGGCTTCGCATAAACTGCTTCATTTCTGTGCTCTTCCCTATGGTTGACTGTCAGAGAATGCCTTAAGGCATTAAGTCCGCCACTTACTGAAATTTTATATGAAGAAGAAATAAATAAACAACACGAAACTTTTTGATGTTCAGTATCTTAAGATCTAGGCTAACTAAGTTAATTAATAACATAATAACGAGTGCTTATTGTAGAGTAAATGGAGACTTTAGAGAGTTGTGTGTATGTTTGTTACTCAATCACGCCAAAGCGGCTGAGGGGATCGGGATAGTATTATGAATAGGGGTAGATTATGGTCTGGAATAAAATAACAGAACAGGCATGGCCGCTGGAAGATGCTAGTTATAATATTGACTGCACAGTTGGCGCAGTGGCTGGGCAACCGGCTGCCGCGTAACGTGCAGTTGATACTATTCCCGCACAAACCAACTCTGTGTGATCCACGAATTGTTGTTCCGGGTCTGATTGTCATGTGTCTGTGAACTTGTATGTTTGTAAACGCACCCACGACACTGAAGAAAATCGTAGTGGGCAAAAAAAGAAATAGGGCTAAAATAAAACAAAAGAAAGTCTGTATAAATTATAATTAAAATACAAAATCGTATTTCACTCTTAGGTACGAACAATTGCGCCCTTTAATTACATACTATGTTAGGCAGACAACATGTATTTTGAAATTATTGTATTTTTATAATAACACTACATTGTCACTTGCAAGTTGAGCGCCAAAGACAAGACTATTTAGTTATTGGCAATACTATTGCTTTAATAAATTAAAACTTTTACAATTTCAGAATATTTTTGTACAAAAATGGGATATAAACGAATTTCTAACATTTTTTAAATATATTTTTGTAACCTTTATTACAATTTGGGATAAGGAAGCGAGTCGGCATGAATGCTTGCATGCTTATTCGAATTTAACGAGTATATGAAAATAAAACTATCGAAAGAAAGGCAGAATATTTTCATTATAAATATTATTATAGTGTAATTGCTATATCTGAATAACAATGTAGTATTTAACTATTGTGAGACATTCGCTCGAATACTGAAAGGCTACTTCATTTTAAATTGTACATACATATTGTGCCACCTCTGTCGTTTTACAAAGAATTTCTAATGACAGAACTGTACTTAAGCGCGATTTAAAACTGAATAGTGTTTCAATATTCAAGCAATAATATAATTTAGACTACACAGCTTACTCATGTAACTCTTCGACGAGGTCACTCAATTAGTTTCAAGCCACAACGGGGGCTCATAAACAACAGAATGCGCGACAACAGAGTAAACTGTATAACTTGAATTAATCTAACAATGTAGTGTTTAAATTTTGTAAATTTCCTCAAGCATACGTTTCTCAAACAGTTTAAAATGTAATGAAATTTACAGATTATATTGCTATACAAATGAGACAGGAAGACTAGTTGTAATTAGACTCTATTATATTGGCGCACTGCACACTATAATTGCCTCGTGCTGTATAAAGCGCCAAAGTAATAAGAGTGATTATCCCATGGCAGTGAATTATTTTCTAGCTTTAAAGCTGCAGGTAAACCAACTAGGCTATTGTCTTTACATTATGCTACTTCGTGTCTTAATATTCATAATAAGGCAAAATTCTGATACACTATTTTAAAATTTAAAATTCATTCTGTTATCCAATATAATATTTTTGATGTTTAGGGACGTTTTTATTATAAAAACATTGACTAATTATTCAGTAACAACAATCGTTATATCAATAAAACTTGAAGCGGCATCGCTTCTAGCCGTGAGGTAAGACCTACAGTCCACGACGCGTCATTTATCGAATGCATGCAACCTAGAAATGACGACAGGCGGATTTATCGTTGCCGCTTCGTGGACACTTTTATTGTTTCTAAGCAAGAAGCAAGCATTTGTAGGACGCCTATTATCATTTGTAAGTTGCATGCTTCGTCGAAGTAACGCGTCATGGACATAAGGCCTAAGTCACTGCGGATGTTATAGCCACATCCGCGGCGACCCAACTCCGCCGGCATCAACAACGCGTACAGCAAAGACAAAAGTATTTACAAGATATGTATATTTATTATAAAAACAATACTTAATTACTTCGTACAAGCACTTAGTCCAAAGGCATCATTGTAGCAGACTCTTCAAGTATTTCGATTTCCTTTTGAGAATGTTCCTAACGTCGTTCAGCATGTCGTCTCGGCCTGTTTTCAGTTTATTTTCTACTGGGCTTTGGTATTTATCGTCTAGGCTTAATTTGGCGAGTATTTCATCGATGCTAACTTCATACTTGGGCCACTCGTCTAGTATATTTTCGAGGAAGGCAATTGAAGTTTGCGCGCTATTGTTGAGTTTGTTCAACAGTTCTGATGTTTTGATTTCGTCGGGAGAGTGGTTGGTTTTCTTCTTGGATTTCTTGGTGCTAGCGGGGGAGAACAGCTCGTTGCAGACGCCCAGCAAGAATGTGATGATACCTATGAACTGTGGAAAGAGAACATTTTTATAGAGATGTTTTTATTATTCTATTAAATTAAATTTTGGGAATTTCATAATAATATTCTACAATGACTCTTAATAATTACGAAATAAAATATAAGTTTATATTAATACTTTCGTGGGACATACTTATTAATTTACATATTATGTTTTCGGCTCACGCACGTCGCCGACAGTCGCCGTATCGCGGGTAGCGGAATGCTGCTCATGAATATGAGTCTCTAGCATGGCTTGAAACTAGTCAAGTTCCTCGTTAAACAGTTACGTGAGTAAGTCGAAAACATAATAACTAATTAGTATGTTTAGTAAACCGTTACGGCGTGGTATTGCTAGAGTAAATATACGATTATTCACTCTTAAAAAAAATCAAAAGAGTATGTTCAATTTGTTGCCACAAAAACTTAAAAAGTTGCGTGTACTTACCTCTAAATAATTAGATAGGCTTTCAAGTCGATCTCTCATACTCCAGACGGGGTCTCCTTTGACCGCGATCTCGTCCTGCAGCTGTAGCTGAGCCTTGGGCAACAGTCGTGCGACAGTCTCACACGCGTCGTGCGCTGCAGTCGTGCGACTGATCGCCAATTCGCCGACTAGTCGCAGTATGGTCGCGTACAACTCCCGGTAAGGTACCGGTGAGTTTACAAATGCTGGAAACGTTGACATTGCTGATTAGATATAATTGTTTTTAAGCTACTTCAAAAATGGTTACTAATACATCCGTACAATTATGTGCTCGGAATTATTACAGACAAACTAATATGCAATAAAAGCGTGAAGTTACAAATTCATAATTTACTTACTTTTTTTGTTTTTGTTTACTTATTTTAACCTTCTGACTGCCGCGATCGGCTATAGCCGACAAACTAAATGTACTTAAAAATCATGTTTTCTTCTCGGCTGTGGCCGACTGTGACGGATCACGTCATATTTTGTTTGTCGACTAAAGCCGAATGTGGCGTTGAAAAGGTTAATATACTGGACAAAATATTGATACAATAACACCATTACTAAACCCCGCCAAAGCACTTTAAACATTACAAATCACAAAAGAAACACCATCCTTCTTAACAATTTTATAACATAAAAAGCCTTACCAATAATCCTAGAAGGGAACGGCGCAGATATGCTAATTCTTTCTCTCTCAGCGTAAAGCTGCCGACATTTCTCCATCGCCGCACTGAAAGCTTCTACACAAGTATTCAGTTGTTCATAATGCCCCTTCTTCTCCTCCACGGGCCGACTGTCTGCCAGCTCGATACATAGCGCGATGGCCGACACTAGGGCGTCCTTGAGCCGGAGATAGGATACCTCCTGGTCAAAGGTACGCGCCTTCAAGTTGTCATCTTGGAACTGCGGCGGCTCGTAGTTCACTATAACGTTGAGGTCGCGGTTGTCGCTGTAATAGGAGTTTATTTAGTTGTTAAATTTGTGCTTGTTTTTGTTATAATACCAGCAAGGCCTTTAAGGTATTTTGTTTCGTACAAGAAGGGTCCTATCTTACTTTTAACACTCGGTAATATGGTAGAGCAAACATTGAATTTTTTAAATGAAAAACTTAGAACAATGGAATAGAACTATCCGGAGGGAATTGTAGGTGTAGGTACCTTCCAATTTTGCAATTGGATACTTGATAACTGCCTGCGGCATTAAGTCCACCCATGTGCTTGTTTGTGCGCATAAAGCTTTTTAAATAAAAAATAAAAATAACCAGTCAAATTCAATACTTTTTTTAATACGAATTTTGTACGAGATTGTGTATTGTGACGTCACGTTTGTTTAGAGTCTATCAACATACTTATTTCTTAAAAAAATGCTGGTATTAAAAAACTAAAATTGAATTGATCATGAAGTCAATTAATAAAAGTTTGATTATTTTTTAATATTTTATTATATTGAAGAGTCGATATAATTTATTTTTGATTGAGCAAAGTACCCAATTACAAAATATAAACTACAACGAAAGATTCAAACGATGGTACCTATAAGATTTTTCTGAAGTTAGAGCAAAAGACATAGTGCCTAACTTATTCTCAGCTAAAGAAATGTCAATGAGGACAAAGCAAAGACACATAATATCCACTGACTGTGGAAACTAATAACCAATGTTAAAAACCTGGATGGATCTGTTTTTGACGAACTCCATACAACAAACGTCAAAAATTATTCTTAATTCAAAAATTTGGATTCAGATTGGTAATTAATTTCGGCTATAAATACGTACGTAGGCAGTGCGGGCAGGCGGGAGGGCTGGTGCAGTAGCGCGGGCGGGCCGGCGAGCTGCGCCAGCAGCGCCTGGTCGCGCGCGGCCGCCGCCCCCCAGCCGCACGCCTCCAGGCGCGCCGCCCACGCAGACAGCTCCACCAGCTTCTCGAACGTACCGTACTTGTACGCGTACGTTAGGTGCTCCACGCTCTATGCATAATAACGGACTGGTAAGGAGTGGGTAAAACTATTTAATACGCTAAAAGAAAGATATATTGAATAATAAACACGTATTACAAGTTACTGTGCCCGACGGAAGTCCAATCCAATCTACCCGAGAAATAATGATTTTTTTTCATTAATGTGAATGCGATGGAAATCTCAATTGGGCCTCCGGTAACCTCACTCACACGACGAAACATAATGCAAGCGTTCATTCGATTTTCTGCTCGGCCGTGGTAATCATTCCGGTCGAGCCGGCCCAATACGTGCCGAAATATCGCTCTCTCAAACCTAAATTAAAACACAGAAGTAACTTACATCCTTCCCATGATGTTTGAGGAAGGCCCTGGTGTCGGCCAGTAGCTGCAGCGCCCTGCTGGCGAGGCAGGCGGGCGCGAGGCGCGCGCAGTGCAGCCAGCCCAGCGACACCAGCTGGATGTGCTTCACTTCCAGGCGCTGGTAGATACTGTCCGCTGCCAACGCGTTCCCTGGGGGAAGGGGGATAAACACAGCATTTATTAATTTACGAGCACTCAGTACTTAATGTACGGCGCATACCTAACAAGCATGGCTCCAATTGACTTGTCATTTAAACATGAACTTTAAATTGTATATCATCCTTACTAACATTAAAAATCGGAAAGTGAGTTTGTTTGTTGGTTCCGCTTTCACGCCATAACTACTTAATCGATTGCTTTGAATTTTTGCAGAAGTAAAGATAGAAGTCCAGATTAAATAATATGGTACTTTTTATCCCGGAAAAATTGATATTACCGAGGGAAAACAAAAGTATTGGTATAGATGGCGCTGTCTGTATTGGTATGTCACATAGGCTACTTTTTATCCTTTTGTGACGCGAGCGAAGCCGCGGGTAAAAGCTAGTGTGACATATTTCATCAATATAAAAAAGCTGTTAACGCCTTACAACCTTTTTGTTTTGTTTCTAAAGCATATACGGCGTTCCGGAGCCGTGCGATGACCGTGTGAGAATAGACTTTAGCTTAGCAATAAGCCGTTTATTTATTTATTAATGTTCACTACGAATTTCCACTTAAATTCCAATTTAAACATTCCTGTAGACATTTTGAAAAATCAGTTAAGTATATCCTGTGGACACCGGACATGGTATTATATTTCAATAAGATCTAAAATACGGAAAAGATAATGTGAGAGCATTATCTTTTCCGTATTTCTTCCACATTTCATTTCCACAGGTTCCAGTAATAATTTCCATCACGTAGACAATACACATAATAATATTCTATTCTAATAAGATATAAGCAATAACAAGGAGTGGTTGGTAAAACGGCTATTATAATAGTAGTACTTACCTAACAGATGGTACAGCTTGACAAGTAGCAGCTTAGCGTGGAAGTTGGCGGGCGAGTGATGCAGCACCAGCTCCAGCAGGCACAGCGCCTCCACTATCGGGGCTGAGCTCTGCTGCTCTACTCCTGGGTATGACAGGAAATAATTATAATGATGAATAGACTTAAGGGGTATTAGCTGTTTGGAGTATTGCTTGTACAAAATAAACTATTATTGGGTTTTTGAAATTCTGATTGATTACTTCGTTTGTCGAGCGACTGAGTAAGTCTCAGGTTCGATTCTCGGGTCAGGCACAGAATATATATTTTTTTTAAACGTGTGAGGATTTTCTTCTCTGTCGTGGCCAGGGTGCGTCTGAAATATACAAATTCACATTCACATGACACTCAGACCCGTAGCAACAACTTGTGAATGACACAAAGAGTTTCTTCGAGCGGGTATTGAACATTGAACCCAGTACCCGTTGCACGGCAGCCGGTTGCCCAGCCCCTGCGTCAGCCAGTCATGGAAGATTTTCCGGCATTTTACCTAGAGTATGGCAATACTCTCTCTATTACATAGTATATAACATGACTAGTGAAAAGTGAGTGTTTTAAATTAAAAAATAAATAAAATTTACCAGCATAAAAATAATGATGAGCAGCCAAAATGCCGTAATGATCGGCAGCACAGAACTCCGTGATATTTGATGTGACGAGTCCTTTCTGTAGACATCGCATATAATGTCCACGGAGCGTGGCAGCTAACTCTAGGGCACCAGTAGACGACAGTGGCGCCGCCACTAGGCGCCAGGCGGCGAGACAGGATATGTGACGTTGTATGTCATCCGCCTGGAGTGAAGGTGATGATCATTAATTAATATACACAGGAAAAATAGAACAACATCTTTAATCGCGTCCACAGAAAAATTGTAAGTTACAAATCATTTATGCAGAATTTATATAGCATTAATGCCGATACCTTCGCGAATTATAAGCCGTCGTCGGCATCGTAAGATTTTGTTTCCTTGTAACAAGTTACATTTTTTCAACAAAAATTACAAAATACTTTTAAGTACCATTACTAGTTGTTTTATTTCATTAGTTCCATTGAGTGAGAGAATAATTAAGAGCGTGATAATAGACATGCTTGTTTGATCTTCCACGCAGTGCGATGCTTTAACTGTTAAAGCTATTAAAAATGGAGTTTATTTCTCGTTCTTCTCCATTTGAAACTAGAATTTGGAAGGAACAATTCAATTTAACGTCTCTCTCTCCACTAACTCCATTATAGACCTTATTTCCGATGTTTAGAGACTACTTTTGTATGAACAAATTTTAGGGATTTGCGGTACGATATATCAACATATTAATCTAAATAAATGCTTTGACTTTGTCTTTGAATGTAAAAGTTTAACATTTTGTCTAGTTTTAGGAATTTAAAGACCTATTCTCTGATACGAGTTCACAACTGCATACATAACGATGCGATGACGTCACTATTTCTCAGCAAGTCAAGTTACACCTTATCTCGACACTGCGCCAGTCACATACACTGTTAACATACCTCATATCTCAGTGGTTACTGATAATAATCAAACCTATCAGTAAGCATTTATGACTCACTTCGAAATATAAAACTGTATATTTTGTTGTATTATTATTCTTTGTATTGATAGTTATTATAATAAAGTAAAACTAGAAGTCTTCTTATTTTTTTCAGGGTCTTTTTATAATTTGCGACCCCTTTAAGAATGAGATATATCGTGATAAATGAAAAAAGTAATAAATGAATTTTTTTGCAGTTTTTATACGCAGATTGTGATGAAAATGCTTTCATCATATCTGTGTCAGTTGGAGTCCCATAAGCAAAAGTATGGGAAGAAAAATAAATATTTAAAAATAATAACTTACCGACTCCGGCTCACTGTTCTCATCAAAGCCAAGACAAGTCAGGAACTCTCTACAATTCTCTTCTCTCTCCTTCTGCGGTATCATTCCAAGGTACGGTCTCAAATCTGGCACCGCACAAGGCTTGTTAGCAAACACTCTTAAATATTGCACACATAAAGCCAAACCACTGCCAATTAGGGACGTTGGATCTCCATCAACAGCTAGTCTCTTCCACAGCTCCAACCGAGCCAAGTACGGTCCTCTAAGTGTCCGTCCTGAGGACATACTTTCAACCAATTGACAAATGAACTCATGGCACTTCTCCGCAGTATTATCAATAGAACTATCCGTATCTTCTTCATTCTCCTTCATCAGGTAGAATACGGAATCAAAGTACGGTACATAGTAGTCCCAGCGGTCTTGATTGTCCCATAGGAGTTCTTTGCAAACTACGTTGAGCCGTTTCCATTGACCGAGCTTCTTTAGATAAGGGATGGAGGCTTGAGCAGTGGATCCTGGGACCAGTTGGGAGTATAATGGGCTCTCAATGAATTTTAAAATGTCTTCCCATTTTTCCTGAAGTTCTAGGATCATAATGTAAAGACGGGCTTCTTGTTCTGCCTCCATTTTGTTTTCGCTTATAAAGTTGTCCACCATTCTTTGAGCTAGAGCTAGTAGGATCCCTCTTTTTGTGTTATCTTCTGATGTTTTGGCCTGTTAAAGATTTATGAAATGTGGTGAGACAGTGAATTGTAGTTAGTTAATAGTAAAAGTTGCAAGTTTATAGTATTATCTACTTGCATTATAATATAGTGACTAATTTCTTAGCTTTTTAATTTTGTATAACTGAGTGATGCTCCTCAGATACAAAATTAATTTGAAATAAGTATCTGGTATAAATAAAAAGTTTGACATGTCACTCCCATTAAGAGTTATATCACATTTTTCCAGTAAGTTACGAATGAGTTGAACTGGTATAATACAATACAAAACTTAATTTAGTCCATTTAAAAAAATGTCTTGGAAATGTATAATAACTTTATACCAACCTGCAACACAATGCTCATAACTGCCCAAAAGTAGTAAGGGTTCTTGGGAGCAAACTTGTACAGAGCCATGGCAGCCCGCTGTTGTGACCGATAGTCCCCGACCCTCACGTAGGACATGAACAAATGGGAGTGCAGCTCTTCATTGGATGGTTCTGACTTTACCGCGTTCTCATATAACATGCAGACTTTGTGTACTGAGGAATCAGAAATTATAATTTATTTAACATACACATAACATTAATTTTATTGGAAACTAGTTTCTGGTAGTGACTTCGCCCACATTTCTGTGGAATAAAAACTACCCCATGTGCTGTAGACATTTTGAAGTGATTGAGTAACAAACAAACATACAAACTTGTTCCATGTTCACAACAAGCCTGGGCCTCATGACACAGGGAATCCTAGTGTGAGGTCCAAGATACAACAAAATTGAAATATTTTCTGAAATAAACATTATTCTTATTCTTAGGTTGTAACTTTTGAAGCTTTAATTTATTTGAGGAGGGAAACTCATCCAATGTCTTCTTCGACGCCCGGGTGAGGTGAGGAGTGTCAGACTCTTACTGACTAAAACCCCTCTGTTTCTACTCCTGCACTTTGAGTCGGAGCCGCGTCAAACCGTTAACTCCTCCGCGGCTCTGTATCGGCATCAGCCCTATTGGGCCCTGTCAGTAGAACTTTCGAAACTAGAGTTCATAATCTTACTAAATAATAATATTTAAAAATTTTATAAATACAGTTTGTTTGTTTGTCTGTTACTTAAACCATAAATCCCCAAGTGGTCACCGGTGACCGCTTTCCACTAATATTACATTACATTATAGACCTTATTTCTAATGTTTAGAGACTACTTTTGTATTACCAAATTTAGGGGATTGGATTTCAACGGGTTAATCACATAAAAAAAGGTGAAGGAACCAGAATGAAATTCGGAACAATGGTAGATTAGGGTCCACGGGCTTTTTCTACGGGAATGTGGGTGAAGTAGAACTAGTGAATAATATTTACTAACAAACGTACACATATAGGTACACACATATAATACACACACACATACAATCATACAAACATAATAATGTGTTTGTATATACATCTGCTGTATCCAAAGGGATGATTTTAAACTTTACCACTTTCTTAAATTAATGTGTTTAAATTATTTTGTATCTTCATAAAGATACACATTAAAAAACAATGAGTGTATAATTTCTGAGCTTATTATATTCTTAACATTAATATATTTCGGTATTCTATATATTCACTTGACTTATACATATTTTAATTAGTATTAATTAATTGACATAAATACACTAGATTCATACTGATTTTGGTTTAATTTCAAATCTTTAGGGTCATGGTATTGTGGGTATCATTCTAGATGGTTTAGGTACTACATACTACATTATATGTAATATAGGCAGCTAGTTATTTCATGACTAATTAAAACTAATTAATTCACATGCTAAGAATAATTTAAGAAAAACTTCGATAAAAGAACAATAGAATAAGAATTCAGTTTACTTTGACACACTATTGTCTTTATTTTAGACAAATTTTCAATTATTGGTTTTATTTTAGACAAATTTTCAAATAGGAATGGTAATCTAGTTTGTTAAATACCTGCATAGATATGTTGGCTAGGCAACAATGATAAATATTGAGTAGCAACACCTACCAAATATTTATATCTTCAGGATGAACTACACATACTGTGACATTGTCTTATGTTGGTTTTTCAGTCCAACTCGAAACTCTTTAGTTATTTAACAGCTTTATTCATGTCTATGTTTCCTAGCACAGCGAATGTTTGAAAAACTTACGTTGTTGAGATTCTCTATAGGATATCGTCATCGCCTGCAGCGTGGTATCATCGCTCGGTTTCTCATCAGCCAGTGCATCAAGAACTACCTGCGCTTCAAGTCCTTTTCCTAACCTAAAAAGTGCTAGGGCTTTTAAAGCTCTTGCCGCTTGCAAAGAAGGACTTTTTTTAAGCACTTTCTCGGCTTCCTGCAGCGCCTTCTTGTTATTGCCAATGTCCAACCAGTCTGGAAAATTCAGGAATCTACATATTTTCATCGAAAAACAACACCTCCAGTGAAGAGGTTGTCTGAATTATTGAACCCTCGCTCCAGTGAACTTGTTACCGTAAATTGGTCGCAACCGACGCTCCACAATTCCACCATCGTGCATGTGCTGTGGCCGCACCGCCATTTTTCATTTAAAATGCTTTTTTTCGCAAAATAAATTGCCTTTCGGTACTTTTTAGGCTTTTTCACAGCACGTTTGTTTTGCGATTTTTGTCTGTGGTATTGACATTTGACAGTGACATTTTATTCATTGTTGCCATTTATAAGACCATAAACAATCTAAAGTATGGTAGAAAATTATTTTAGATTGGTAGGATTTTGAAACTAATTATTGTGAACCGCGTGCGCATAATGAATGCAACACTCACGATCCGTTTTTTTTTTATGAAGTAGGAGGCAAATCAGTATATGGATAACCTGATGGTAAGCGATTAGCGCCGCCCATGGACACCTACAATACCGGAGGGGTCACAGGTGCTGATGAAAGTGCTATTTACATGGGCTAGTCTAACTTTTAAACTCCAAATCAATGCTGTAATTGAAATAATGCTGTCAACTATCGGGAATTGAACTCAAGATTTTTGCGTGGTTTTCACCACCAAGAACCAGTATCGAGTAGCAAAGGAGTATTATAATAAAATTACTTAATTTATTTATTTAGACTGAGTACAAAAACACATGTACAGGTGGACTTAATGCCTTGGGAATTGTCTTACGCTCGACCTTAAGGTGGTGCAGAAATAAAAGTGGCAGGTCAGGTGACTAGGCAAATATTAATAATTAATAACTATACATAAATAACTATAGATAATTATATATAAATATATAGCCATACATATGTATATATGTACTCATATATCCAATACCTATATCATATAATAGTACCATACACAAACATATTCAAGTAAAAACTAAATAACATAATAAAAGACAACTTAGATTCAAACGAATCGAATTTGCTAGTTTATTTTGTTAGTGTTTTGATAAGCCATCTGGTGGCCATCCTGATCTCCGTGGGTAGCGCATTCCATAGAATCACAGATTGTATGAAATTTAAAGAATAAACAATATTCTATAACATTATATAATATCACGCCTTTTATCCCCGAAGAGGTAGGCAGAGGTGCACATTATGCCACTGTACAATGTAACACCCACTTTTCACTATTTATATGTTATGAGTCCCATGTAATAGAGGGTGCACAATTCCAGACTCCTACTACTACTGAGATTTTTTTAAAAACCCAGAAATCCCTTGCCCAACCCAGAAATCGAATCCGAGACCCCTTGCCCGGCAGTCGCACTTACGACCACTCGGCTAACGAGGCAGTCTATTATTTATTTTTATATAATATAGTAAATAAGTTATACAGTATTCTATAACTTATTCTAAGTAGTAAGTAGGTACCCAAGTTACTGCTTTCTTGATAATCATTGAGCTTAAGTTTCCATTTTATAAATAATAAGTAGGTATTTAGTATTCTCAATGTTATTTAGTAGTTCTATTTTTTCATTTCTCATTATACTAGGATTTTAAATACTTTATTCCACAATAGGATTTTCTCCTTTGTCGAAGTCGTAGGTGCATTTAAACACAAAAATGGTCACGTCCACATCACCACCATTGAGGAACAATAGTTTGTGTCGAGTTTCAACAATAGTTTGTGGATCACGCAAAGAAGTGTTCCGTGCGGAAATCGAAGCCGTAACACATTGCATTCGTCCCGCAACTGCGGCAAGTGTAGGTACAGTAAAATCTAACAATGTATATCATACATAATTTTTGGGTAAAATAATAAAATCACAAATTCAATCATAACATTTAATTTAACATAAATAATATCTATTAATTTACAAAAGTAAAATTAACCTAAAATTAAAATTAAGTTAATCACCTATGAACCGACTTTATCGGGGCCTTAGTACGAATTTGTTTTATGTTTAAAGTAACCGAAACGAGACCACGTTCGACGCTCTGATTGGCTGGTTCATTGGAGCCGGCCAATCAGATCGCCGAATACAAACTCGTACTAAGCCCACTGAAGTCAAATCTCTACGTAACTCAGTCACACAAGACTTATATCACTATGTAAAGGCAGCTTAGGTAGGTCAGCTTATACTATCCACACTATTCTACTTGGCTCTAAGGTCCACCGTCTCGAATCCCGAGTCGATCCCTATTTTTGATGGCGTTAGTTCTGGAGGTTGTTCTCTCGATAGAGATGACCTCTTGTGCCTCGGTGGAGGAACAGGCGCCGGTGGTGGCACTTTCGACTTAAGGAAATTCTTAATCTTAAAGCCACCTCTGTAGTAATACAAGTAAATTGCTGCTAGAACGCCGATAGCAACGAGCAACGTGACGATGGCGACCACGAAGCCGTACCAAGAGCTTCCAGTAGACTCTTCTGGAGTTGGCACTGTTGGTCTTCTGTTTGGAGGCACGTAGCTCGGTCTGGGACGTCTGGTCGTAGTGGCGAACCGTTCTCCTATAGCTATGTCAGCACATGCCCTAAATTCTTCCTGTGGGCCACACCCCACGGCCTCGGTCCCGTTTCCACATGAACCCCAATTATTGCCAGCGATATATCTCCATTGCAGCACGCAATGGGAACAATTCATTCCTTCAGGTAGCTTATATTTCATCTCGTATACTTTATTTCCATCTTTCGGGTAGAATTTGGTTCCGTCGTCTTTACCGTCTAGTTTCAGTACGTTTTTGTCTAAACAATCTTGAGTGGTTCCCTTTGGCTCGTCGCAGACTCTGAACTCGAAGAAGCCGTTGTGATTGGCGGTTAGTTCTACTTTGATGACGATGGAGTCTTGGGGTGCGTATTTGCGGACGATGACACCTTTGCCGAATCTGCCGCCGAGTTCGTGAGCTCTGGGAGGTGGTGCGTCCCAAGCGTCTCCACAGACTCCGCATTTCCCGTCGTTCTTGTTCCACTGTCTGGAGAAGCCTCCGCAATAAAGTTCGTGGTCATTGTAGTTGTGTGGTGTGTCGAAGCCGAAGCGCCAGGCGGAGGCGCGTGATGGAGGTTCAATGAGTCTGCCGTGACCACTCGCTGTCCGCCATGTCACTGCCAGCACGGCGAAGCACCAGATAATCTGGAACAATTGAAAAGTCACATTATAATCACGATTAGGTACTCGATTATAATAGCTAATACGTGTGCCATACATAATCCAAACACACGTATTATGTTGTAAAATCGTTTAGGTATGTAATAAATAACATAATAATCTAGAGGTAAGTACAATGACTATGTAATTGGGATATGAACATTGCTGTCAATCGATTTAACATTTTGTGAGTGGAGACGCTGCATCAGGGTTTTAATCAATACCTTTACACCAATCTATGCATTTTAAAGTATTTTCCGTTTGAAATTTTTATAACTTCTGGCTACGCAATGCGCAGTAGGTATCGCAGGTTCATGCTAACTGTTTGTTAACGAGCGTAATTATATTTATAGCGAATAGCGACCGACTTACAGCTCAATCAAGAATCCATGTGACGAATTGCCAGTTCTTACTTGTTAGTGTTCATTTAGACATGGGAAAGTGCTCTTTCTGCATCGCGATATAAAGTTTAAAGAAGAGGGAAATGATTTAGTACGGTAGGTAGAGCTACCTACAATACAAGTACCGAGATAGCAGCTTTACAACTTAACTATCCCCATACAATATTTGCAATCATCCCACGTCCAATACTTTTTCAAAGATCAGGTTTTTTGCCACACTTTCACGTAGTTTTTATTAGAAATTAGTGCCACGCTCATATCAAAAATACACCCTAAAATTATTGTACTAAAATGAGTCATTTTGATTCATTCACTTATTCCATAAGTTCATCGTGACTTGTATGGACGGTTCAGTTGCTAAAGTCGTTTTTATTTTATTGCTCGTACGTAAAAACACTAGTAAATTAGGTAAGTAAATAGGTAACCTATTTAACAATATCACCCTATAAAGCTCATAATTACTTAGTTTAAAAATCGAACTGATTAATTAAATACTCAAGATGGCCGCCAACCTGATTTGATTCGAATCCGCGACTGATTTAAAATCGTTGCGGTCAACAAGATGTAATGCTATTCATTTATTACATAAAATTACGCCACGTAATGGATCGTTTATTTTTATTATGGGTCACTTTCGCTCCCATAGTAAATCGTAACGAAAATTGGTATTGTTGCCTAGTTACGGATCATCAAACTCTATTTTGTTTGTGGTACATTTTTTTCTTCTAATCATTATGTAGATATGTTTGAATGCGTAATCGGATTTCTATTTACATCATATAAGAAAAGTTTTTTTTATGACGATACCTAGTAGATTAAATTTAATTATGCAATAAAAAAATTTGAAGTTATAGTTTTTTTCGTAAATGAATGTCAGAGTTGACATATGAGCATTAACCGTAAAAATTGTGTAAGAAATAATAACGTCTTCTAGTTTATATTACACCCATAACTTTTGCTAATAACTCTTGTTAGTACCGGTAATATTGTGCTGACATGGTTTTTACGACAAAAAATCTAATTGCATGAAATAAAACCACAATTAATCGTCGTCTGGAATCTTAGAGCCTCAATTTAAAAGTGCGTGTATTATTTTTGATGTTTGAGTTGAGAGGCATATACTCAAACATACCTATAGACGCACACACGTTTTATACCGGACATTACGTATGGCTTTAATGCCTTGTTCACACTGCGCTAGTATCTAAGCCGAGTAGTGAATGTTCAGTAGTCCTCTCTCGCTTCTGTCCCAAAATATAAGTGAGATAGAATTTCTAAATATTCGCAACTCGACTAAAATACTAGCGTCGTGCGAATAAGGCATAAGGGTTGAGAAGTATGTCTAGGTACGTCTTTGTATAAATAACTATTGTGAGTAAGACATATTGAATTATTTGATACGTGATAGATGCGGCCCAAAAGACATGGTTATGAATTCCGCTGCTTGTGACTTTCGTAAAAGGGTTGCCAGGGCTCCAGCTCGAAGAGCAGTAGTAGGAACGGGGTGGTTTTTAATCAATCTGACATTTCATCTCGCTTTACCTGGGAGGAGTCATTGGATGATTTTACCCCTAAAAAAACGAAGAGATTTACTCAATCATTGCACGTGATTGAAAAGAGAGGTAGATTTGATTGTCAACCTTTTCTTTCTTTAACAAAGCTATTTCTTAAACTTGCGTGGGTAAGAACTACAACCTACATGATACAAACTAAAAGGCACGCAGCCTTGCAAAAATGATGGTCAATGTTTTCTCTCCACGTAGTTACAGCAGGTTAATGACTTTATAATAGCTTTATGATATAAGAACACATCTTACTGCATATCCATTATAGTGATGTGACTCGTGTTTAATGAGTATCGGTATTTATAAGAGGTATTTGTATCAAAGTATCAACTATCAAATCTAGCGTGCTTTCGTTACGTAATTACATCACATGATCGAGGAGATTGAAGACGTGATGTTTGCCTAGTCCTAACATTAATAAACTGAAATTGTATTGTGAACATGATTGAAAAAGAGTAACCTATGGAGTTTCTTGCTCGTTCTTCTCCATAGGAATCTACACTTTGGAACAAGCAAATAGCTTCACTAGAGGACTGACCTACAGACTGACATTTTTTCTTATTATAGAGGTATTTTGTTTTGACGTTCAAAAGTACCTTGCTGGTCTAACTGAAATAAATGATTTTGACTTTGACTTTGAAGAATATAAAAAAATGATGAATTAACATTGAAGATAAATATGAAAACATTGAAGAACATAATATCACGAATATTATTATAGAAAGGGTTGTCAGAGGTGCATATTACGGCACTTAATGCCACTGTACAAAGTAACATCGACTTTTCACTATTTATGGAGTCCCATGTAATAGGGGGTGAGCTATTGCCATATACGGGGCACAATTCCAGTCTCCGTACAACCACTGATAATTTTATTTAAAAAAACCATTAATATGTTCGAACCGGGAATTGAACCCGAAACCCCTGGCCCGGCAGTCGTAGTTGCGACCACTCGGCCAACGAGGCGGTCAAGTCAAGTAAGTCAAGTAATCTGGTTGATAACAGCTTAATCCATAAACCATGATTAATTTCTTAAATAATATTCTCATACGCATTAGTTCCCAGCTTTTACGCACAGCACATCACTAAATTAACACCGATGTAATCTATTCTGCACAAAGTATGTACGTGGTCGTGACATTGAATAGTAAAAGAGGTGCTAAACGGTAAATCTACACATTAATCGTGCGAATACTGGAGTGAAATTAGCAATTTTAAACAAGCTTAATGTGGAAATCATTAATAGACATCTAAAATTAGCATAGAAGGCTTTCCTACTTTTTAAAACGAAAACATAGGATACGATTAGGTAGTTGCCAGTGCCAGGGTATCAAAATTAAAAATATAATCAGTCCGTCAGTTAGATAATGAAAAAATATTAGACACGTATATTTTATTTTCTCATATTAAATTGCAATACTTAGATAAAATGGCGCTAAGTTTAGGAGTGGGAGGTCGTTACGTCATAACGTACTACAAAATGTGACACGCTGTGACGTCACACGATATTTGAAATTAATATATCTTCGAAAGTATTTAATTTTGTGAGAAAAGAAAAAATACGTGTCTAAAGTTTTAAATTAATGTACCAAACGGACATTAAAATAAAATTTAGGAAACTGTAACGTTAAAGGGCATGATTTGTATTTTGAGAATTTGCTTGGTAGTCGACATGTCATTTGTTTGCTACATAAAGTACCTATCTCTAAATAGTCGATAAAGTGCACCTACTTGTGCATAACTTTATATCTAACGTTTAACTTCTTGGCCTTTAACCCGGTTACCGGGGTTCCGTCACGAAGAGCAAGAGTAGGAACGGGGTGGTTTTTAGTTAGTACGAGCAACACTTGCTCTCGCTTCACCCAGGCGGGAGGCGTCATTCGATGATTTTCCCCCCTTAAAAAAACCTTTCAGCACATGGAGTGCCTGCCCGGTAGTACCAACATACAAATGTAAGTGCATTTTACATAAAACCCCTTTTCTTCTTACTTTTTCCCTCACAAGACTTATAACAGCTCATTATAGTCACAGACCATTGGCTCACATCAAAGAACGGTTCAAGGAAGTACCGAAATAATAACCTCTTTGGTCATCGTGATACCGCTACGTAAATGTCCTAAGAATTGGCCAGTGGCGGCCATGATGCAAAACGACTAGTTACATATCATATTTTAGGTCATAAGACTTTGGAATTCTATAGCTAGTAACCTTTTTCGAAATTGCTCTGTTGGTATAATGTATGTGTGTGTGTGTGCATCTATGATTGAGGACTTTTGCAAGTTCCAAAAATTTGCAAAAGTCCTCAATCATAGATTTCGTAAAATAACCAGGAGGTAGCTGCAAGCGTTTTCTAAGAAATAATAAAATCTCATGGAGCTAAGGAATGCACCGTCCCTATTGGTAATCTGGTTATCAGTGAATAGCAAGCGTTAGAAGTGATGAACTGGAAGATAATTCTATTTTTAAAAGTGTCTGCAATGTTTCATCAACTGCCCAGGGCCAAGGACCTCGTCTTTTTTTTTTTTTTTTTTTTTTAAGGGGGGAAAATCATCGAATGACTGCCCCCGCCTGGGTGAGGCGGAAGGGAGTGTCAGACTCTTACTGACTAAAAACCACCCCGTTCCTTCTCCTGCACGTCGAGCCGGAGCCCCGGTTACCCGTTAGGTTCTCCGCGACTCCGAATCGGCATCGGCCCTATTGGGCCCCATCTGTGGTGGTCTGATGGCTCTTTGAGGCGCGCGCGGAACGCGACGCGCCGTACGCTCGGGTCTGTTTCTGGTCGGACGGGGAGCCACCCATGCTCGCCGTCCGCAGGCCCGCGCTTACGGTGGCCGGAGATCGTCCCGCGATCCCCGACGCCCGGTGTGTCCTTCGCGATGGCTGGGTTGCGAGGAGGCAGCGCTTCGCTGCCTCACGCGTCCCGCCTCCTCCTTAGCTAGCATGACTGCTTCGCAAATGGAGGAGACGGCATCCCAGTCCCCCTCGCTCCGCATCATGGCCTGCACTAGGCCCGGACGCG